AGAGGAGCAAAAAGCAACTTGCTTTTATCAAGGTCAAGTGTGCCTCGATGTTCTCTCCAGCCATTAGTGGAAAGCCTGACTGGAACCTGACCTGAAACCATAATGTTCTCCTTGTCCTGGGCAGAACCAAGGCTAGGAGAAACACTGCCTGGTGAGAATTGCTCTCTTCCCAGTTCAGAACAAAGGTATGGCAACCAGTCACAAAAGAACCTTAACTGGGTCAGTCAAAAAAGCCAAAGGGGAAGGAATCTGGTCCATCCCCATTGTGGAGAGTAAACATATACCGTGTCTCACGTTAACTCTTGTTGTAATTTCTCTGACCCATTCCCAAGGATTTAAGAGCCATGGATGAGAAAAAAGTTCTTTCTCATTTGTATCTACCTGAAAAGACAATGCCTATGGGAGAACATCCTGGGTTTGTCATCAAAAATACCCAAGCTTAAAGGATACAGTCAATGAAATGAGAAGGGATATCTATCTGATGTTCCCGCTACATCAATGATCAAGGCTTGATGTGAAAAGAAACTGAGAGTTTGCGTCAGACCTGAGGGGTTGAAGTTATGGTGGGAAGTTCCCACCTCAGATTAGGAGGTTTCCTGGGAGTCAAATTGAGCAGCCCAGGCAATCTATGACAGAAAATCAGAGTTGTATGACATTGGGAGAGGGGAGTGTGGACAAGCAGGAGCATTGAGCCTGCAAGAATCAAAGGAGGATCTAACTCAGATATAGAGTCAAGGCAGGTCCAGGAAGGGATGGAATCTAAGAAAAAGCAGATGAGGCACAAGTCCAAACAGCCTGGGGGTTTTGGGCATAGACACAGATCTTCCACAGGAACTGCTTGTGATATCCTTTTATGAGTCAGTAGATTAGAGACTTAGATGGGCTGGGCAGGCTAATCACATCAGGACATGAAGGACAACTATTTATTGAGATATTACTATGTAGATACTTGTAAATCAGGGCAAAAAGGACAGCTGTCTTTTAAAAACAATAAGACATAAAATGAAACCAATGTTTGGACTTTTAGTATGATCCATACACTGTTCTAAGAAAATTACATTAAGTTAACCTTATTTAATATTTACATAATCCTATGAGGATTTCTATCCCCATTTTACTTTTGAAATGAATAGCTGAAAAAAAAGCATAGAGATATTAAATAAGTCAAAGATCATACTAACTGGAAGACTGCAAGAGACTAAGCTGGATTCAAAACCAGCCTTTAGAGGCTTCTAGCTTAACCAATTACACTATGAAATATAACTATCTGTCCTTTACTAGTATTAGTATACCTGATGCCCTTAGGGTAACAGAAAAATAATGCCTTCAAAGTAGTCAAAAACACTAAACTAATAAGAAGAAATCAAAAACTCAAGAGATTGCAAGAAGAGGTAAGGTTCTAAGTTATCTCTCATCTCGTCCAACCCTCCTGTCATATAGATAAGTTACTTGCCCAAGTCACCAGGCACGAACCTTGCAGCTCTCATCCATATCTGATCTCCACTCCTCTGTGGGTACACAGAAGGTTATGCTTTCCAGCCTCCTGGTAGTTTTGGATTACAGGTCAGTGGGCTGTGAGTGGCAGTGATGTGTGTCACTTCTGAATTGAAGTATTTAATGTGAAGGCATTTAAGCTACGTGAGTTCTCCATAATTTCCTTCTCTGCTGCAGTGACCCTGATAACTGCAATTTACAAGATCCCTGAGTCACCACATAGAAGAAATCTACATCAGAGTCATCAGACCAGAAGTGTACTTTGCATAGACAATAAATAAATGCTTAAGTGTTAAGCAATTAAGATTAGAGGGGTTTACTTGTTACCACAGCAAACCCCTCATCTATCCTGATTCACAATCATCTGTGCAATCATAACATAGTTAATGATTATCACCAGTTCACAGATTAACATAAGTTAATGTAATGACTCTTAAGCTAAATTATAAAACTTCCTTTAAAATTTCTTCAGTCTAAATAATGCTCCAAATCAAATGGTTTTATTTCTGGATAAACACATGCAGAAAACTGAAATTGGGCCCCTAACTTATACTACTCACAAATATCATCTCAAAATGGATTAAAGATGCAAACATAACACCAGAAACTGTAAAACTCTTAGAAGAAAATATAGAAGAAAGGCTCTTTGACATTGATTCTTGGCAATGATATTTTTGGATCTGACACAAAAACATAAGCAACTATCAATAAGGGGGACCACAATGAACTAAGGTGCTTATGTACAGCAAAGCAAGCCATCAACACATGAAAAGGAAACCTACAGAAGGGAGAAAATACATGCAAACCAGAGGTGACATATAGGGTTAATATCAAGATATAGAAAGAACCCATACAACTCAAAAACAAAACAAAACAAAAGTCTGATTTAAAAGTGAGCAAAGGAACTAAATAGATAGTTTTTCCTAAAGAAGTTTTTCCTAAAGAATGGAATGCCATTTCCCTTCAAATGGCAAACATATACATGAAAATGTACTTAGCATTACAATAGATCTGAGGCATACAGTAAGGGAAGCAGAACAAGGAGGGAAGAACACAAGGGGATTTGGTGATGGTTCATGGGTGATATAGTGATGGGAGAACTATGGGGACAATTATGTAAAAAAAAAATTCTTAATAATAAAATTAAAAAAGAAAATGCACTTAGCATTATATTTCAAAGTATACTAAAATCTGTGATTCTTGGATCACATTCCATGCTATCTCAATTCTAAGACATGGTTAAATATGAAATAAATATAAAAGGTCTCCAGAAATTTACAAAATAAAGTCCATGCATTTAATACCAGAGGGGTTCTTTGGCTCACACAGAGCTTTGTGACTTTTAATTTATATACAATCCAAACCAACAGCTCTTTTTCTTCCAATCATAGAAAATAAGATTACTCCAGGTCTCTGGAAGCAGGCCCACTGGTAGTAAAAGTGAAAATGAGTCACTCAGTCCATGACAGTCAGTGGTTAGAGTGACAATTTAAGTCATTTTTAATAGTTTTTAAGACCACATAGAATGTATAACGATTAAAAACATTTCTTCTGCAATGATCATGTACTACTTCTGTGATACAAAGGTAATTTTTTTAATGGATGAAAGTAGGATATATAAAAGTCACATTTAATTCTCCAACTGGGTGATAAGAGGTGGACTACACACTTACAATTCCATGTTGGTTCACTTCATAAGTTGGTGGCATGATTATATGAAACATTTAGAAATAATGAAGCATCAGCTAATTTAGTCAGAGCAAAGGGAACAGAGTCTGTTCTACCTGCTTATATATTTTGCTAATCAGAAAACTGGCTAAGCTGACTTTTCATGCCCCAGTGAGATGGTCCTTGGATCCACCATAAGAGATAAAGGCTCTTCAGAATTGGGTAATTATATTGGCATTTACCTAAGATAAATGATAACATCCAGTCGCATAGAACTATAACCAAGTTGTCCAACCTGTTGCTTCATAAACAAGTCCAAAGGTAAAGACATGATTGAAGACAAGCGTTTTTTCCATTCCAATGTATAATTCAGGGTTGACATGTTCAAAAGATGTCACTACTGGTTTGACCAGAGCACTGACCAATCAGGAGAGATCCCAGGATAAGCAACTGGTATACCTGTAGCGATCATTACTGCTGAACATCAACAAACCTTGCTGAGTTTATTTTTAAAAACTGGAATTATTAATTGGCTGAAGTTTCTTTTTTCAAAGACCAATTCATTGACATATATACTTTATGAAAAGAATCAGTCATCAAGAAACAATAAAGCCCTCCAATCTGCTAAACACTGCTAAAAAATTGTTTCAATCCATCATGAAGACAGGCCACCAATTGTAGGTTTTACATAAACCCTTAAGAGCACCACCAAAGGGAAAAGCAACCAGAAAACTGGCACTGTGTTCCTGACAGGGGCACCAGCACTGTTGATTTAGGATACCTCCAGCCAACCACAGTTCTGCCATAATGAAACTGAATTATGAGATGAAAGAAAACATCTTGTGCTAGTTTAGGTGGGTTGTAAGCCCAATTATCCTTGAAAATCCTTTGGAGGAAGAAAATACAACCCAATTTGTAGAAGGGAAAAATGAAACCATAAAAATACTTACAATCTTGCCTGGTAAGAGATTCTCTATATTGCACTTAACGAATAGCACAAGTCAGAATGTGGACACATTTATCAGTTCTCCTAAGTGCTGAGTGCTTTACAGCAGGTAAATAACTCAGTGAAACTTGCCCATGGCTGCAACAGGAATGCACAGAAGTGAAGATAAATAAATAGCAATGGGTGTTGGAAGATAAAGGGGCCTGTCCCAGTCAGAAAATGTGTGTCCAGCTAAAGAGAAAATTCACTACTCATTGGCGCCCTGCAGATGTGAAGTCCTAACATGGACAGACCTTCCCATTTATTAATGAAAAGTCAGTAGTGTAGAAATTTCTCTTAAATTTCTTGATATTAAATGTAGGCAAAAAATATTGAAAAAATACCTTATTATGTTATAGTTCAACACTATGTGTAACAAAGTGAACATATGCAGGCCACAAGTTACAATCTGACTTAATCAACTGCTTCCTTCATTCAAAAATATTTTCTGAGCATGAGATACTGTGGTAACAGATGCTGCACTAAGCATGAAGGATATAGTTCTTCAGACACAACTCCTGCCTTCAAGAATCTTATAATTTTTTATCGCCATTTCATTTATTTTTTTCCCACCACTTATACTCCTTTGACTCTTTCTCACTCCTCTTCCCTTTGAACCTCACTTCACTTATGACTCTCTCACAGTTTATAACTATTTTGCTTTGTCAGTTTGATACAGGGCAGCAAGGGGCACTAAAACTGGCCAAGGACACTGTCCAAATAGTTTGCCGGTTACTGTCTTAAGTATTTTACAATAGCGCACAATTGTAAGACTACTTAGGCTCAGGGAACAACAATGGGATTTATTTAACAAACCAGGGAAAAACAAAGAGTGACTGAGGCCAAAAATTACCTTTATCTCACCCAAAGCAGTGTCCAGTGTTCTTTAGTCTTAAATAAAAGCAGCTAAAAAATGGTGTCTTTTTGCCACTGAGGATGCAGAGTCTCTCTCTCGAACAATAGGCCACACATCCAAGATGGGGTCTTTTTGCCTCTGTCAACCTGGACCATGCGACAGCCAGACTCCAGGTCAGGTTTTAACTCACAAAGACAGCAGAAGATGCAACAGGAGAAGCTTGCTGGAATGTCCCAGCACAGCACCAGACAAGCAACACTTAAAGCAGCAATTGTAGTGGCTAAAAGACCTGACAAAAGGCCACACTCATGCAGCTCAGATTGGCACCTGGCTCTGGCTCTGCCAGGCTTAACAGCAGCAAAACCAGGAACAGTTTCAGTCACTCAGCTACTTGCAAAGCCTCCGAACTTTTTCTCTCTGAGGTTGGCTCCAGGAGGTCTCCACCTTCAGAGGCCCACAACAGCCTGCTGGAAGTTCCGTGCGGTGGGGGCCAGAATCCATTGACCCCAGATGCTAAAGATCCAAACACCTTGAATCCTGAAGACTGAATGAATGCGCTGCTGCTTTTGTAGTCACTTGTATTTCTTATCTGATAACCCACCCCAAAAGGTGATACTTTTTAGCATTTTCCCTGGGGCTGTCTATTCTTACCAACAATTCTCTTCAGGGGACACCACCTGTTACTGTCCATGGTTTCAGCCACCAGTTACAAGTTCATCTTCTATGACTCCTTGTTTAACTCCCAATTTGTCTTTGTCTTTCTGATTTGCTTTACTACATATAATTCCCTTAAACACCTTCTGTTTTTTGCTATAAATGTTAGCTAAAACTTCATCTTTTCTTATAAATGTGTGTATACACATTTTTGCGTGTATATACCACATCTTTTAATCCAATCCTCTTTCAGTGGGCACTTAGATTGCTTCTAAATCCTAGCTATTGTAAATAAAGCTACAATAAACATTTTGGTGTGTACATTTTTTGAGTTGATGTTTTCATGTTCTTCAAATGGAGTGGGTTCGGGGAAGGGTGAAGAACTGTGACCATTTGCGACTCTCCTTCATAATAAGAAAGCATGACATGCCCAAAGGCCCAACAATAAGAGAGTAGATGGAGTTTGGGAGACTCCAAGTTGTTTGGTAAGACAAGAGGTGAGAAGGCAAAAGGGGTTACTGGAGAAAGATGTGGCAAGTGTGGTCAGGAGAAACCAGATCAAGAAAGGCCTACCATGTATGTGCCCAAGAAAGAGTGAAAAGAAATGGGGGAGAAAGCGTTTCTCTCTGTTGATTATCTATCTGGGGAATACAAAGACAGGTACAAAATAAATATGATGGAAGGTTGCACATAGCCATCTTAAACAAACGGCTCTGGGGGATCCTAAAAAAGAAACATCAGGGCCTCCCTAGTGGTTCAAGCAACCGGTTAAGCACAGCACCATGAAGCTCCCTGCAGACTCTGCAGCACCAGTTCCATTGCTGGCTGGTCAGGGAGCTACCCACATAGCACAGCAGACTTCTCCTTAAGCTAAGACAGGATATGGTCTTATAGGAAAGGGCCAACTCTCTGGTTTTAACCACACCCTCTCTAGCCCATGGGCCCATTGAGACCCTGAGACTGAGAGACACTAATGTATAGACTTTTATAGGAGAGCAATCAAAGAGGCAGCTGAGAAAATTAAAGAAGAAAACCTGGAGGCTTTAAAATGTGAGGTTAAGGAATTTTAACGTAGTGACAGCAATGAAGAGTCAGTCCTGGGTGTTTTTGAATAAGGTAAAGACATAAAGAGCTGCATTTTCCAAACATTCACATAGCAAAACTGGGTATAATGGAGCAGGCACAGGCTAGCAGAAGGTGTTTCTTTTCAATCCCCTGGTCATGACAGGCATCACTAACCAATCAAGAGATTTTTGCTAGAGAAACCCAAATACAGCCTCCAATTCTCCCCAGGTTTAGTGCTCTGATGATGTAGGAGGTGGAGTTGAAAAGCAATTCGGAACCTAATGGTCACCCTGATGGTGGAGACAACTACCTACGAGGTGACCCCTTTTTCAGAGGGAAGGAGAATTAAGGTGGCATGTGGAGGTGGCAGTAGAAATGGAAATGGGGAGTTAATTCAAGAAGTGTGGGTACAGTATGTCATTTGGAATACTCAGTGTGGGAGATAAAAGACAGGGAACACCAAATACCACTCCCAGTTTTTAAGATTGTAATGAGAATTGTGGTGCCCTTAACCAACAAAAGAAACTTGGGAAAACAAATAGATTGTATGAAGAAGAAGAAAATGGATTCATTTGAGTGGAAAAGCCAGGCTTAAACACATTAAAATAAGGGTCCACGCTGAAGCTTGGAAATATGGATTATAAGACAAACCATTCATCTCATGAATAAAAATTTCTTGCAAGATCCCAGTAACATTGAAAGAATGTGTATGGAAGAGGAAGATATTTCTTATTTTTCCTAAAGAATATTGCTACATTGTCAAAGACTTCTGGTGGAACTCAGAAGAGAAAGAAAAGTTTAAAAGTGGCTGCAATACAGGTTTTTCTTTCACATGAGAAACGGTTGGCAGGAAGGGCCCTTGACAGCACAAGTGGAAACCTGAAGTTCCCTGCCCCAGCCCTCCACCTCCACACTGTGTCTAAGCTCTGACTTCATGGAAGACTTAATCCAATTAAGAAATCTATTGTTCTGCTACCTCTACCTTGAGATGGGTTTTCACACAACAAAAATGGAGACCCATGCTCAGAGGAGAGGTGTGGAGTGGTTAGTCAGTTCCTATACAGAGAGATAAATTAAAAAATAGGGCTTAAAGTATGGGTTCTGGATGAAAAGTTTTTGACTTCAAATCCCAGCACTGTCCTGACTCAAGAAAGTCACTGAACTCTATACATCCATTTCCTCATCCGTAAAATGGGGAGGATAAAAACTATAGTTTCCCTCTTCTTAAGGTGTTGTGAGGACTAACTGATAAGTACATTTTAAGTGCACTTATTAAATATGACTGTATTCCTATTACCTTTTTTTTTATTATCGACACTTTTATCAAGCACTGATGAATAATTCCTCTCATACATGAGTAAAATCCATTGGAAGTTCTCAAACTTTCTAAAGGGAAGATTTCCTTTATTTTAGCATGACTAAATGAGGCACTTTAAGAATCTGCTAATGAATGAATGAATGCCGTCTATAAAGGAATGTCCCAGAGACTTTCCTATCATAAATACATTTGCAGGTTTTTTCATCAGCTTTTCTTCCCCGACCAGGCCAGTCTGAAAATGCAATCGGGAAATGTGGGTAGTAATAAAAACAATAATGGGAACATTTCCAGGAGACTCTTGAAGGCCCTTAGGAACCTCATTTCTTGGCAGATACCCAAGAAACTTGCTTTTATCTCTTAAGTGGAGGTTCAAATTCTCCTTCAAGGTCACCAGTGCCAATCTCTGCACTGCCCTCTTGTGTTTTCAATGACTGTCATAACCTGGCAATGACTAAGCCCCGGCTACTTTCTTCCCTTCACTTTAAGTGTCTTATTGTCCCTGAAGCTGTTCTCAATAAGGTGTGAGGAAAAGTCTCATAAACCATGGATACAACTGTTACAAGACTCTCCTTTGTGGAGAAATGTGGGACAAATTAATTCCCTCATGCTGAATGGGAAGACAGGTGAGTGGTACTACTTAGAGTCATGGCCAAGTGACCCCTCCCTTGCTACAGGGAATATGGGTGCCATAGTTCCTTCTCTTCAGGGTGATCCCCAACTTCAAATCAAATGATACTGGTGATACTTGTCCTCCTGTTTCTGGGCATGGATAAGTGGCCTTCTCAGAGTTTCTATACCATTTTCTTCAAAGTTATCCATCCCCACTGACGCTAAGAGAACTTCTGGAGGCTGCCCTGAGAGGTGGTCTGAATTTGATGGTTTCCTTTCCTCCCTCTCAATTTACACTAGAGATTTGATATGCTCTCATCTTTTCTCACCTACTGGCGACTTGTCCTTGTCTCTTAGCAGAAAGATAGGTACTTCATCCTCTAAAAGAAAATGAAGAGACTGGCAATGATGTCACTGCAGAAAGGTTTTGGAAAGGTGCCTATTTGGAAGAATGTTCATAGCCTAATCCCGCATCTCTGCTTTAGCCAGTGAGGCTAGGTTTCTAGGTATCCCTTCATAACTGTTTCCTTTCCACAGAAATGATGGGAATAGAGCCTGCCTCTTTTCATCCTCCTACCAAGAATCTACTTCACAGGATTCTAGATGCAGGAAGAAGAACAACTGTATGACTTTGCTGTGTAATCTACAGATTGTTGAAAGATGTTAACTGTCAGAACAGTGATTCCCCAGAGTTAATGCCTTAACCAATTTCTTCCTTTTCAACGTTATACAGTATTCTGGAACCTACTATTTAATGAGTATGAGTAATTTGGTGTTACAGTCCCATCCTATTCCTCTCTGTATCATCAGGATCAATCACCCAGGATCCTAATTTTACAAATGAAACAACTAAAGCTCAAAGCAGTTCAAAGAGTTAATAAATTTTAGGCATGGATTTGAATTCACCTCTTTGACTCCAATTGCAGTGGTCACGTCAACCTGACACATAATAAATGACCACAAAATTACTGGCAGATACATTAGCGAATAAGCTCTTGTCTTCAGCAACCCTCACCTTTGGAGAACTTTCTCTGCTATCACACGCCCTATTTTCAAATCACTAGGCAACTACTAAGAACATAAAAGAAATCAAACAGCTTGTTACATAGGGTGTAGAGTGGAAGCCGTGGAATAAAGACTGAACACACAAAACTGCAAAATCCTGAAATTGTACAGAAAAGCAGGAGGACACAGAAGGCATAAGACCAGGAGTAGACTCTGGGCAGTCTGAGGGGAGAGCTGCTTGCTGTCAGTCTCATCTCACCTCAAGGACAATATATACCAGTGGTTTTCACAAGTTATTTCTCATGAAGCCCCTAAAAGAATATTCTTTCTTATATAATCCACTTCTTTGCATAATTTTCAAGATGACATCTCAAGTTAGTTGCAAAAACTGTATTATCTAATTTTCTGTTTATTTTACACACATTTAAATATATTCTGGCCAACACTGGAGAAACACAATCAGCTTATTAGATTTACAGAAAATAACCACCACAGATCCTAATTAGCCAAACCAACTTCATCATCATAGAAGACAAGTCATGATTTCTTTTAATATCTGAATTTTTTTTTTTTAATTTTCAAGAAACATGTCCAAACATGTCATGATAACCTTCTCACTCTTTTTTTTTTTTTAAAGATTTATTTATTTTTATACACGAACCGGGGTACAGGCCAGATGCATGGGAGGGTGAGAGGACTCACCAGAGGCAGAGCAGGGAACAGA